AAAGTCTCAGCTGATAATTTATATAAATAATGTTTCATTAGAAGACTAGGGGATGGGGTTTGGTAAATGTGAAGATGACATAAGATAATAAATATATAAATAATTTGTCGTAACGTAAATGCACAAACCTTTTTATAAGTTTATGTATTGTTTATCAACTGAATTAAGCATATTAAAATTGCACTGTAAATTTTATAATGTTTGTGCTTGAATGAAATCATTATTTTTTCCTTTAACAATGGTAGAAGTTTACATCACTGTCTTCGTCATGGTCCACAGATTTTCAGTATTCTCTGAAAAGGATCTGTCGGTAATCCAGCTCTCTCGTTCTTTCCTTCTTTCTTTCTTTCAAGGATTAGAATTAACAAAGTGAAAGGTGTGGCCTCCACTTCATTTTCTTGAGCCAAAAAATAAATAAATAAATAACTACAGGGGAAGCGACGACGTGTCCGCCCGCCGCAATCGTGCACTGATAAAAATTTCAGAGTTACTGAGATTTCGGCCTTTTTGTCAGGACGAACCAACACCTACCAAACCAAGGACGGCCGTTGTCGACTCTGACGCGACCATTTTTCAGCAACGTCACTTTTTCTCTTTCTTCGATCCTTTTTTTTTTTTTTTAATCGATTAATATATTACGTGTACTTCCTCTCTTCTCGTTTTTTGATTTCATTCTTTTGTTTTCACGTGTGTTCCACTTCCATATCTCTCCATACACTGTTCCAACTTTAATTTTATTGGAAATTTTTAAATTATATTTTAGCTTTTCATTCAATTTTTTATACCCATATAGTTTGACTACAATTTTAGCTTTATATATTTACAGGGTATATTGAAATTTCAGAAATCTAAATTATAATTTATCCATTATTTTCTGTTTGTATTTTGGTAGTGGGAATTAATTTTTTTTTTTTAAGTATACGAGGTATTCAGACGAGTCTATTTAATTATTTTTTGGTTGTGAGAATTAATTATTAGTATTATTTTTAGGTATTTAAAGTATCAGACTCACAGGTATGCTTGCCACTCAAGCAAATTTTGGTAAGTAGGACATTTTCAGAACATGATTGAAGTTTCAACTAAGTTTTTTCTAGTAGATTCTATATTATAGCATTTCAACTCTATTTCTTGGGCGGTGAGGAGCATTTGACTACTTGAGCAGACCTTTAAAAGCCACAGAAAAATCATGCGCGGTATGGCTAGCCATTCAAGACTTCAAGTCGAAGAATAGTAAGGGTGGATTTTCTATTTTTATCATATCTTATTTTTATCATCTTCAAAATACATATTTATTTCTTTATTCTAAAAATATTATTATATTTTATTTTATTTTTTAAACCCTTAAATTATTAATTTAACTAATCACTCCTAAAAAAAGTTTAGAAATTGACAAAAATAACCTCATCTACCCATATTTATCAGATTTCAATCACCACCGTCAAAAAGTGGTCAGAATCTAGTATAATAGTACACTATTGACTGGATCTAGCCAGTAGTGTGTGGATATAGCCTTTTTTCGCCAGATCCACCATGGATCTGGTAGAAAAATACCATATCTATGGTCAAAGATCTGGCTATTGACAGTTAGATCTTTGGCCGTAGCTAGTCGTCAATGATAGCCAAGATATGACCGTCGTTGACGACCAAACGCAGTCAGATCTAACTATCAATGACCAGATCTAGTTGTAGATCTGACCTTTTCTGGATAAAGCCACAGTGGATCTAACTAAAAAAAGTTATCTCGACTCATGATCGGCCAAATCCAGTCGATCGAACTTGCCAATTACCGATAATTAATGGGTGGATGAAGGTGTTTTTGTAATTTTTAATGTTTTTATTACAGAGATATTTAGAAATTTACAAACACATAGAATATTTTTATTAAATTTTAAATTTTACCTCAGTTATTATTATCCCATTCTTACTTTTTTTTTTTTTTTAAATACTATCCAAAATACTAGCACCTCAGTTATATATTATTTATGCCTTGTAAATTTGTAATCTGGTAAAGGCTCACAATTAATATAAATTGTGAATAACAAATACTGACAGTACTAAAAGTAAAAGTTTCAGATTGCAGAGAATAGTCAATTCATAAGTTTCAGCTGGTAGTGATGAAGTGACAACCGCAGCTTCCCCGTAAGTAACATTTAACTGGACCTGCAAAAACAGTCCATTAGTCTTACTTGAATATGATACATCAACATCACCTTTTTTTTTTTTTTTTTTTTTAAGAATAATTCTCAATATATAAACTATATACAAAACAAACCGACATGATATGAAATTAATAAAAAAGTGAATGAAAATAAAAAATCTATCTCAAATGAATGATGTTGTAAGTAAATTTAATACATAAGTTTGTTATATAAGAGTTTCTATACATACTTTATATTTGTAATTTTATTTTTCTTCTGTCATGAGACATATGTATACATACATTTAATTTATTAATGAATCGAATAATTTAAGTAATTAATATTTAACTGTAACTTTATTCAGTGCATGGCTATTGGTCGGCTATGGCAGCTTAGACTCCCGTCTATGACAAAATATTGTTTCATATATATATATATATATGTTTGTGCTTTGAGTGCTCGAACTTTTGTCATTTGATACATTCAAAAAGATACAATATATATATGAAACAATATTAATAGCGGTTGGCAGTGTCCACAGCGGCTGATATAATTAATTACCCTAATCTTGTTATTAATATTTTGATCAAAGTCTTCTTAATTACAGTTAATAATGGTGAGTCTTCAAAACTCTATATATATATATATATGATTAATACTAATGGTCGCTGGGAACTTGTGCATACGGTGACAAGTTCTAAAAATTGTCTATTACCCTCATAGGTGTGAAAGCAGTCGAGGAAATTTATTGAGGGAAGCAATGAGGGACCAACATTAGAGACCTTAATAAAGCAGATAATGGGACCAAATAAATTAATTTATATATGATGGAAAATCACTGTATTTAATTGGCAATTTCAACCTATCAGGTTGCAGCCAAATGCACATTAATAGCGGTTGGCAGTATTAATATTTTGATCAAAGTCTTCTTAATTACAGTTAATAATGGTGATTCTTCAAAACTTGTTCCAGCAAAGGACCAAAAAAATAAGATGAAGAGTCGCAGTTTTTGTCTTGGTAGTTGAATATTGATCACGTGGTGGGCACTGAGGTTTCTTGTAAGAGAATAGGTAAAGTTTCTGGAAGTATATTACTGCATGCGCAAAGGATAATAATAATGTTTTGCATGGATTTGATTTAAGAAGAAAATTCACAGGTCGGTGGATCCATTTGTTACGAAAATTATTCTAATTCAATGTTTTGAAAGAGAAAAAATAAATAAAAAAATAAAAGTAGGGTTTTGTTATTAGTCTTCTTCTAAGTGATCTTTTCGAGAATAAGAGACTTTTTGAACAACCTGCGATAAAGCTTTAGTGGGACATTTTTGCTTCCTCCCTCTCTCTCTAAATTACAAACCTAAACATCCAAAGTAACTGTCATTGCCCACAAAACACCTTTTCTAAAGTTGTGGCTAACATTGATTCTGCGGCAAAATAAAGAATATTAAATAAATATTTCGGGTTTTCATTATATATTTATGACCATACGTTTCAAGAACTGAATTGAAGAACATGCCTTCCTTTTTATAATTCTCACGTGATTCATTAAAAAGGATAAAAAATGTACAGAAAGATCATAAAAAACCGATCATCCTACCTCAAAACAGGTCCTGGGATAAGAATAAAAACACAAACCTAATAGGCTGATGAGATAGAGGAGAGGAACAAGCAAAAGAATACAAAAATAAAAACATCTTATCACAGGACATGTCTGGATTTAAAAAAAAAAAACTGCTATACACAACATCATTTAATTCATATTTCATGGTCGTTTTCGCAAGTAGACAAGATTGCATATGGATGGCTAATTCACACACAAAAATCTCTTGATTAAAAATTTACTTGGTGAAATTATTAATCGATAATTAGTCAATGGGTATCAACTTTCTTTTTACATAAAGTCAATAGCCTTCTGGAAATGGCATCTCCTGCTTTCCCCGGCAAACATGTTTCATGATATTGAAAGATGTCCAATTACATTGAGTGGGTTGGTGACGTAGCTGGGCCACAATCCCCTGATGCAATCTCATTTCGATTTTGATCGGAAGGAAAATTCATTCATTATGTATTTGATCGGGTGATGAGTCAGACGCACCTCAATTTCTATCGTTACGTCTCAATCAAGTTACCAAGTTGGCCAAATTATTAGCCATTTCATTTTTTTTCAATTATTAATAAAGCTGTTAATTGTATTATTTCCTGAACGTGCCCCAATGATTTCTTGAGTCAGAGAATTGCAGGCCAAAATAATATTAGTTCTGAAAGGAGAAACGAAGAAAGATGTAATAGAAGAAGAACAGAATTTGCAAGACGACAATATATATCCAAAAAGGTGCTGAAGTATTATATAGAAATTGGCAAATTTGTGAAACTGATAAGCGAGACATTTGTCATATCGTATCAGTCCTTAATATCTCCACACGTGATATGTGTACTACTGCATTTACGTCTCCAAGTCTAAGTCTAAGAATTCTATTGCTCGAGTTTATAAAATTATCGAATAGGTAAAAATTTTTAGTAATCACTTTTATAACTGTTGGGAGAAAGTCGATCTGAATAGTTTTTAAATTTTTTTTGTTTTTTTATTATCAAGTTATTTAATAGTGATTTAAAAAAATTAAATCTTAAAAAATAATTTAGTCAAACAGTTTATTTTCGACAAAATTTGAGCCGCAATCGGCGAAAGTGCAAAAAATTTCAATGATATATTTATATTATATATAACAAGAAAGAGATTATTGGTTCTTTAAGGCTACGTGCATTAAATATTTTATCGACAAAACTCAAAAGAGAAGAAGTTTGATACAATGAGAGAGATAATATTCTCTTTCTTTTACAAAGGTAAATAATTTTAAAATACAAAATTCAAAAGAGAAACAGAAACCAGCTGAGCTCGAATTCTACCTATATGTCATAAGCTACAAGCTGGTTCCTTGGAAACTACAATAATAATGACAATAAACGTAACAAAAACAAAAGGGTTGCTAGGGTTTTCAAATCTCCAGGAGAATCCGAGGACCTGTCTTCTCTGACGCATCGATCCCTATGTTAAAATCTCCCAGTAATTTTCTCAAAAACTCACCAACAACACATTTCACAAAAACCTTTTCCTCTATGCTTGGTTCACCAAATCCTTTGCCTCCACAAACGTTCCATGAAAACCGTACGGTACTCTTGAAGGTAACTTAACCGAAGCTTCAAGCTGTAAATTATTGGCGTTCACAATCTGTAGCTCTGATTTCCATGTCTTCTCGTTGTGAACAAATGCAAGAATATAACCATCATCTTCATTTTCAGAATTTGCATCTGTTGGTAGGAAAAATGGCTCACCACCGTATTTTCTATCACCATAAATGTATTTTTTTACCTCTCCAGTAGAAAGATCCACTTTGGCAAAACCTGATACTTTTGGCCACGGCTCAGCAATGGCAAGATAAGCAAACCGGGTTTTTCTCCCGAGTCGGTTCCGGTTCACCATTCCAGCCTCTAAGTTCACTTGGTCAGATTGAGAAAGTATGGGTCGGCGTGTGGACTTACCAGTCTTTAAATTTAGCCGAATTTCAGATAACACACTCTTCAAACTCTCGTCACATTCATTGAAAATTGAGTCAGCCGGTGTCATGCATGATCCTATAACGACAACTTCATCAGATTCCGGTTCCTCCCAAGCGTTCCACAAATGGAAACAAAACGTATCCGGTGATTCAATCCAAATTATATCTTTAGCATCAGTCGCATTTTTCGCCAGAATCCCAAACCTGGACTTCTTGTTCTTGTCATATATCACCGGAGACCCTCCCTTTATCATTTCTTGAAGCTTGAACACAACTTGCTGATCCGGGATCACCACAAAATTCTCAGTGATAGCGAAATCATGCATCATGGTTGGCATTTCAAGAGGAATTTCAACGTCCGGTGACTTCGTTCCATCCGGAGAAAATCGGAAGTATTTAAGATAAGGCTTTTGAACGACATCATAGCTCAAAGAAAACAATTCTTTGGAAATTGGATCAACTTTAGGGTGAGCTATCATAGTTGAAGTTAATTGTTCATCAAAATTGTATCTTCCAACAGTTTCAAGATCACCTGAAGAAGAAATACGCACTTGGTAAGGAAGATCATCTTCTGACATGGCGAGCAAACGGTTATTGAAATAAACTAAGCCGGCGTTAGCCACTCCAGTGCCTTGTTTGTGATCAAGAAGACCGAAAAGTCCTCTTGCATAGAACAACAAGAGACGAGCTACACCATTGTGGCCGTGTAATTCGCCTATGGCTTTAGGAAACACTGGGCGACCAAGCTCTTTCTCTTGAACTAATCTTTGTGTTTCGGTGAAACGACAGGCGTAGCTTGCGTTTCCGTTGTCAATGCTAACGGCGTGAACCATGCCGTCACCGTCAAAGAAGTGGTGACCAGCGACCGGCTGGAATAAAGGGTTGGCGCCGTTACGAATATAAACGCCGTTAATGCATTTGGGGATGGAACCAGTGACTGGGAGAGAGTGCTGGACGGGCTGTTCCAGTACCGGAGCGAAGTTTCCACAGATTTGAACACGTGGGTCAGCGGTCTTGGGGAGTGGGTGTTGGCGCTCGCGTGTGATCAACGCGCTTTCAGCCATGTCAAAGGCCATGGCTGCAGCTCGTTGAAGCAGGTTCCACTGATGGTGGGTCTTTGTGGGTTTTACGGGAGAGTTTTCTTTGGGGATTACTTGGTTTTGGTAAGGTTGTTTAGGGAAATGGAGGACTGAAGGAGAGTGTAAAGCAGAGTATACCCTACTATTGGGCTTCTTCTTCTTTAAGGTGATGGACTTTGATGAAAAGCCCAAATCTACAAAAGAAGATGATGAAGAAGAAGAAGAGAAAGGATGAAGAAGCTGAGATTTAGCCCAACTATTAGAGTTGGGTGTTAGTGTAGAAGCAGCCATGGCTTTTTAGCTTTGATTGTCGTCTCAGGTTGAAGGCAAAGAGGAGAGTTTTGTATTGAGAGAGAGAGAGAGAGTGGAGTGCGTTTTGGGGGAAATATGGAGAGAAAAATTGGGTATAAATAGAGTTTGAGGAAATGGTGATGAAAGAGAGAGAAAACTTATTAACGTTTGCTTGAAGTAGAGGTCCAACTCAGACATCTAAGAGAACACCACGTGGTGGATTTGTGGAAAGGGCACTTGGGGATTGATTGACATTACATTAGACATTAAGACTAGACTAGAAAAAGGGTGTTTTTCATTATTTTTTTATTTTAAGAAAATTAAAAATAAAATAAAATAAGAATTTTAGGTTGCTTATGACACAACACAACTAAATATTTAAGGGGCTATAATTGGATGGAATCCTAAAATTAAGGACCAATAAGAGTTAAGTGTTTTGTAATGAGAGAAACACGAAGAGAAATAGTGAAAATTCAGTGAGGAAAAGCCCATTAATTGTAATTATTTTTTTTTTTTGTTTTGTTGGTTGGTCTTCTTTTAATTAACTCCGCGTTTTGCCCTTCCCACAGAGGACAGAGACAGAGGCCGAATTCGCTCGACTCGACCCCCAACCACGTGGCCGTTTTCCACTCCCTTTCAACCACAAATCTTGGTCAAAATCACTTAGCCCCACACGCTCTCTCTCTCTCTCTCTTTACCCGTCTCTTCTATTTCATTTCATATTCATTCGTACAACACAAAACGGTCATCCCCAACAGTGAGCTACTGTATATATAAAAGAAGAGAACAGAGACCCCTCTCTGATCACTCTCTCTTCTTTCTATCAACATCCTTGAGCCCATTTGCCTGCGATCACCACACTCCGTACAAAACAAACCATTATCTCTCTTCTCTTCTCTTCTTTGTTCTTTCTTTGCCTAATTTCTCATTAATTTACTTTTAAATTTGATTTTTTTACCGTCATTTTAATCGCCTTCTGTCAATGCATGGTATTAATTCAACAAATTTGTGTTTAGGGTTCTGATTTTTTATCGCCTTCTATCAATGTATGGTATTTAATTTGCTTAAAAGAAAATAAACTATACAGAAAACTAAGGATATACCATATACCTCCAGAAGACGTCTAGAGAATATTAAATTAGATGTGCCCATCTTTTTGGGAAAAACCGCTCAAAAGGGAGTACACAAGCTCTAAACAAAGGAGGGAGATGGGCTTAAACACCCTAACAGAGCTCTTAGATTCAAACCAAACAGAAAAGAGAAACTGGTAAAGACGCACAACCAGAGCGCACAAGCTCAGAACAAACAAGACCCATTAGTTAGGTAGAGTCCAAATGGCTCTAAGCTGATGATGGATGGCATACTTGGAGGCTAGGTCAAAATTTGCGTAGCTCTATCTACATTTCAAGTCAAACATTCTCGTGTTTTGAAGGAATATATATATATATATATATATATATATATGTACTTTGGCTTATTAAATAGATATTAAAATTTTTAATAAAATAGTTGATAGAGGGGGATGGTTTCAATAATATCTCACTTATCATAAGTGTCACGTCAACAAAAAAAAATCTATACAACTAAAATAAATATCATCTTCAAATAGTTGTAATTTTTAACGTATGCCACTCAAATATTACATTTTCATGTTAAATAAGTTATTATAAATATTGAAAATTATAGGTTATGATCAATATCTAATATGCACTTATCAATTGATCCATGTCGTATTAAATAGAGTATGGGAATATTTGTTACAGCATCAAATATGAAAATAACATTTTCGATATTTTACAAAAGATAAAACGGTGTAGCATTAAATATAGAGGTCCCACAATGGGTTCATCTATGCGGAAAAAAACGAATTCAATTTCACAATTGTAGCATTCAAGACGAAAGATGAAGCAATTAATGCTGGAGATAGCTAATCGTGTTATCCATTTGGATTGTAGTTAATTCTCTACCTGCGGTCCTCACCGGACCAACCGGCGACATTGTCAAGGGCCACCGGACAAAGAAGGATGAAAACGATGGCTGACCCTGATGCCTATCCGTTCTCCTTTTAAACCTTTCTCTTTAACATGAACCAAAAGTTGTGGATGTTATGGAAAACTTTTAGCTCTAAAGAATTGGCTTGTCGAATATTTAGAAATTTTTTTAACATCTTGTGACCTCTTCCCTTTTCGCCTCGTATTCTTCTTGATAATGTGACAATCCCACCATGGCAATTTAATAAAAAAAAGCTTAATATAAACTAAAACGATTTAAGAATTAATAAAAATCAGGGCACAAACAATTTATGGGTGGCCAAGTGGTTCGATAAGGATTCTTAGATGTATTACTCAAGAGATCATAAGTTCGAGTTCTTCCTCGATTACTAATAAGGGTAGTCACTGAAAATTTTACCATATCGGTAATTCCAAAGTCCCAAGGAATTAGTTGATATTGCAAGTAAGCTACCCGAACACTCCTGATCATTAAAAAAAAAAAAAAAAAAAAAAAAATCAGGGCACATGCATAAATAAAGCATATAATTTGCTGCTCCATTTTGTTCCTTTTTTTAATTTTTTTTAATTTTATATAATACAATATTGTTAACTACCATATATAAACAAAATCAAAGGGGGATTAGGAGAAAATATTCTCTGTAAAAACTTAATTATTGTTAATATTATTAATAATGTATATCTTATACTCCTCCATTGGGGAGCAAGTGAAAGTTAGGTGTCCTAATTATATACAGCATTGTATATCTGTTCATATTGTCAGTTTTCGGAAGCAAATCTTTCATGTAAAGATTTCATCTCTCTTAAATTAAGAAAAGAGCTTTCTCTTTGTCTTGAGTTAATGATAAGAGACCTCTAACCTCCAATGATAAACTTACAGATACCTCCTCCTTTTACTTTTTTTTTTCTAATTAATATATAATTAATCAAAAAAGTTTAGTCCCCCCTCATGTCATGGATGACCCTTAGCAGCAGCAACTGCAAAATTTATATCCTTCTTTATCATATATTTATAAATTAATAACACTAAATGGGCAGACATAGATGCTCTTTTCAAATAATACTGCGCTCCTCCATTCATTTTCTGACATTACATATATATCCAGATGTCGAACATTTATTCTTAATATAATGTTAATTCGTGATAATATAATATAATGTTAACCCTTTTCATGGTTATTTCGAAAGGTATAGTTGTTTGAGATTTCAATAGTGCAGTGATGGTCGTATAAATTGATCGAAAAGCGAGAGAGAAGGATAGTTGAATTAGGGTTATATAAATTAATTTTTCTGCTTCGTCCAAGGTTAAGGTTGATGTATCTTAGGATCGAGAGCACATGTAAATGAAATTCCAGTGATGTATTTTTCTCATAAGATAATCAGATGATTAGATTGCATACATGATAAAGAAGATTTTGTTGTTGGCAAAGATTCTTAAATTTCAAAATATTTATTTTACTTTGCATGGCAGTAGGTGAGGCCGCGCCGCTCAAGGGAAACTTTATATACATATAATCATCTAAACCATTTCTCTCAAATCATATCAAACTAAGATCTTTCAGAGTTGTCATATATTCCATGACAATTTTTGTTTCATTTTTATTTTAAATCCCTTCTTCTTGGTTACAATATAATAAACAATTAATTTGCCAAAGTGTCCAAATCCATCCACTCATGCTCACCTTGAAAGATTAGTGAGTAACACGAACCAATAACAATATTAAACATACAAATCACAAATAGTAAAGAGTAAAAAAACCACGCTCGATTTTATTCTGGTTCGCTCAATTAACAGACTATATCTAGTAGAGTTAATATTATTGCAATACTGTCTCACCTCTCTCGTTTACAATGAGTGTAATTTACCCTATGATTTGCTATCATACTCATACTAGAGAAAAATATGTTATATACTAGGTTTAAAAGACTAAAATATGATATTATAAGGATTTATATTCTTATATCCAAACCCAATAATGGATTAATAACTTAGAGAAATTCTTCAGCTAGAACCGAATGCGTTTACGTGGCTCCTAATTGTTGAAATAGTCAACAACTCCGACGCACCTGACCTATTTCTATTGAAAGAACTGTAAGTATATCAAAATATGTTATTGCATGAAGATGCATTAATTTTGATGTCTATTCATGCAACTTGGTATAAAAATTGTCGTGTGTGTATCCAATCAAAAGAATAGATCATTTCAGCACCATGTAAATTATAGCTGAAGCTATTTAATTAAAACATGCACACTTCCTCAAAGATTAGGGAATTGGGGTTGGGGCATGGGGCCTCTTCGCTACCAGCTAATTAAGCAAAGTGACAAGCTGATATGATAGACATCGATGCTGCGATTTTATTATCCATGTGACAATCAAGAACAACTTGCATAACTTATCCATCTGGTTAGTTCTTAGTTTTGGCTATTGGCCAATACCGCTACTTGGGATCGAAAATGTACTATAGTTTCTGCTTGGCCAATTAAGCAAGTTCAATTATCAACCATGTATATTGAGAAATGATAAAATCCCACTTCATATGGTTCGTCCCATTGCTATGACATTGACAATTAATCCAGCAAGTGGCTTCATGTTATGGGGAATTGGGGATAAGTGTACCATGTTGTGAAATGACACTTGTACAGATTAAGTACTGCTCGTGATTAATTAGTATATGTTTATTTAACTATGTACGTACGCCATTATTGAATGAAATCAGGGTTTTGATTGGGTCGTTATTTTTCTATGTTATTTTAAGGAAGAAAGTTATTGGTATTATTTGTAGCATTATGAGAATTGAGAGGTTGATTGTTAGTTTATTAATCTTTAATACTTATTATATACAAGAGTGGATTATCCATAAAATCAATGGAATCATAGTATAACTAGTGGTTGCCTTCCACGGTGCCTGTAAAAAGGTTACTTGGTTTGCACTAAATTAAGACTTATTTCAAGAGTTAACTGACTTTTTTCTCATCCAAATAATGACTTAATGATATACTCTCACCGATAAACTTTTAAAATATCACTTTATTATTTAAA